TGGTCTCGCCCACCTCTTCATGCACCCAATTCTGGCAACTTTGGTTGGGCAACTTGGCATTTGACTCCAACTATAATCAGCTTGGCAATATGTTTTCAATAGAATCTTCCTTTTATATCTTAATTAACGATTAGAAGATCGATCAATTTGGCAATGGCAACCATTACAAAAATATCAATATGGTGTGGCAGATAATTTTTTTCTTTTCTAGTATTTATTTGTTCATTTATTTTTGTTTACTGTATAGTATACCCTAAATTTATCGCGTTTCATTCTTACTTAAATAACTTCTCAGTGGTTGTGTGTGTGTGTGGCTGGTGGGTGCATGTGAGCGTGTGTGAAATAACTTAATAATTTTAGGTGAGTAAACACGTACCACTTCCTCTTGGCAAAACCTTCCATCTTATATTTTGTACGTTATAAACCTTATCTAAGGTTTTGTTTGCTCCCCTGATTTCATAATCAGTTTTTATTTATTTGTTTTTATCTGTCAAATATATTGTTATGCTGATTATGGAGTCGAAATAAACTTATACCTATAATATGCATACGGATCCACCGGCACAAAAGCATAGAAGAAGGATAAGTAGTTAGTCTCGCAGAAACCAAATAATCAAGGCATTATTTGTTACTGAATTTCTAAGGAACATTTTAAATCATTTTCGGTTAGTTACCTTATGTGCGCTACGAAACTGAAAGATAAATGGCCTCGGCTCGCGGCCTATCAGTTAAATTTTAGATTTTGTCGATAAATGAGCTTCTGAGCAATAATTCATTTTACCGAGAAGAAATGTGTTGTTTTAATCAATTTTATTTTATTACGTTTCAGGTCTGTCGTTAGTTTCTGTTAGATTATGTGGAATGCTGTACCTGGTGAAATGCGAAGCATGTCTTATCCTATTATTAAAATGAAGATGAAAAAATTTCTTTGGTCCAAGTATCTCGAATGATGACAATAGTTAAATTATATTCTATGAGGTCTTTCCAAACCCAGAAATCAATTCAACAGTATATGAGCAAATGACTCGGTCCATAATATTAGAATGTACCTGTGATGGTTCATGTTCTAACGAATTTTTAACACAATTTGTGTTTATTTTATTTTTTTCACAACATGCCAATCTCATGCCAGATTTTACTAATTAACTCGTTTAATTTGATTCCCACTCCCCTTAACTTGAACTAGATATGGGTTCTCAAGTCATTGTTGTAGTTCAGTAGTTCAACTTTGTATTATATATATACAGATATATTGCAAATCTCAGCAATTGTCATGTTGAAAGTAATTTTTTTTATTACACACTCGAAATGACACTTCAACACCTAGTCACATTGTTTCTTTTTTGTTATATTGTGCAGTCCAGTGTGTCTGTACAGACGATAGAATATTATTCATCACGTTACCGGTACCGTATTTGGGAGGCGGACAACTCGACTACACGGACAACTCACCAGAGACAACTCGACTACCTGGAGGCCTGGTGAGTTGTCCGTCTTTTGGCATTTTCTACGGTGGTGTTTTAGGTCTATAGAAATGCGTTTTTGATATTTTTAGTGCTCAAATGTTGGGATAATACTTAAATATGCTCTAGAACATAGGTTCTCAAAGTGCTCCGTACGGAGCCCCAGGGCTCCGCGAGAGAAACCTAGGGGCTCCGTGAGCTATCCGATTACTTTTTAAAATAATGACTAGTTTTGTAACTGTTCAAAGAAACAATAACAGCTTTGATAAAATTTGACAACAATATAGCCTCGAAATATGGCAAAGAGGCGGAATCGAAAAATGACATTATTTATAAGCTGGAGCGCAGCCAGGATTCTCAAGAGGATTTGAATCGGAAATTTCCGCGCAACATTCTTTGCGATTATAAAAACGGATAACGAGATTTCTGTTTCGTAAAATATTCAATGTATGGCCGATGCGAGCATTTAAAGTGTCTCGTCGTAATAATTCAATTGTACTCATAGTTACTCAAGTTTCATTCGAGATTACTATTAGGATTACTAAAATGAAGGAATACTATTCTAAAATAACATAAAATACGTGATAAACTGCCACCTATGAATAAATTGGAGTCGTATTTTTGCGATCTTGGAATTTGTCAAACTTGATTTGTTCTTTTGCACTCGAGATTATTATTAAGCAAGATATCGCCGTTGAAAAAATCACAAGATCTGGGCAAAATACGATTGAAATTTATTTTAATGCATGCGGCTCCGTCGGTAGTTTCAGAAAAAAAAAAAAAGGTAAATCGCGCACACAATTGACTGTGTTTCGATTTCTCAGTTACTGTACTACGAATAACCAAAGAAAACCTAACATTACACCGAATTTTGTGATTTACAATGCCTATAAAAGCGTTTTTAATCTGACGTGAGTCTGCTAAAACCAAACTTATAGTGTGATCTTTTATTTTGAAATGTAATATTTTGGAATGCCGTTTTTCAATCAAGAAATTTGAGTTGCGGATTTACCTCTTTATTATTAATTATTATTTTTAGCATTTCGTCGCCGATGACTATATATGGTAACATGTTTTTCACATTGAACTCATAATTCCCCACGAGAACAAAAAAGCAATCATCGTCGTCATTGTGGAACAATACGTGTATAAGCCGAAGAAAATTTTTGATTTAGGGAGAATAAACACTGGCGTAAAGATGTTTAACATGCCATGCTGACGAAAACTATCGGTGATTGTAACAAAATGCAATCGCGCACGTTATTAGCAGCCTTTTAGTTTTAAGTTTTCCGAAAATGTCAAAAGGGAAAAGATTCGACCCCTAGTTTATTAATATGTTTGTCAAGTGTCAAATTTACAGCTTTAGTAAGAGTATATATAATTTATCTTTGAAATTTTGATTTATTTATGACTTGCATTAACCCCATTAAAAAAAGGTTTAGCCTTTAAATTAAGTTAAGTACTTTTAACTTACTCAGGAATATTTATCGGAAAGCTACAATTTTAACATTTCTTTCGGGGCTCCGCGAATAATGGTCAACCTTTTCAGGGGCTCCGCAACACCAAAAGTTTGAGAACCCCTGCTCTAGAAAGCATTTTTATTTGTATAAGTGGCTTATTTTGATCATGTTGTATGAATACAAATACAGTCTACAGACGAAATTGGAGTGTGACGACCCTTGTTTTGCCTGTTAAATGACTTCATGTATTATGCTTCTATATTTGGTATTCTAGGACCCTTGTTTTATTTGTTAAATGACGTCATGTGATATCGTTTCCATATTTGGTATTCTAGCAGTTTAGACGCTGCGACAGGGTCGATCGGTTCTCTGGGGCAGCGTGGTCTGTTGGTGTATGCTGTGTGACAGAGTGGAGTCGTCTGAGTGTTTCGGTTAGATTGGTGGGTTTTGAATGTCTGTGTGAATGCCTCTGGTCTTCAGGGATGTTTGTCTGTGTTGTGTGACTGTCGGATGTTTTGTGCTGGACAGTGGGCTGACGTAGGGACCATGTTATTGTTTTTACCATTACAGTTCATTTACTGTAGTGTTGTATTTTCAGTTTTATCGTGGAATTAGCTTTCATCAGTATTGTTCAAATGTTGTGCACCTATAGAATTGTTCATAGTCTTTTTAAATGCCTGTCATAAGTTACTTTCGGCCTGTTTTGCAAATTGCAGTAGCTAGTTCATTGTACCAGATTCTAGGAGTCATTTGGTTTTTTATTCAGAGTTGTCTTGGATTTCAGGGTTGGTCAGTGTTTTTGTTGTGTATGTGGTCTTTCTTGCATTTTACTGCCTGGTATCTGTTATTCTTATTTTATGCTTTTCGTTCCTTTGGGGAGTGTTTGGTTGTTTTGGATCGTTTACTGTTCGAGTTGTTAATAAATGACATAAAATAGCATAAAGACTTGGACTATTGAGAGAAAACTTGACGTCAGATCATATTAGAAGATATTCTGAACCTGGATAATTATTTCATACATTGCCGGTACGCTACAGGAGTAACGTTAGCGAAGTTAGACTGTTGACTTATAGGACTGTGTTCGTTTAATTTTTTGAACTTTATTAGTATTAAATGTTTTGAATGGGCACCTTTAAACATATTAAAACCTTTATACTTCACAGTAACACTTAAATATTTATGAATATGAGCTCAGTAGTCTATGGTTGCCTAAACTCGCCTACGGCACTCGCCCGACAGGCCGTCAACTCACCAGTCGAGCAAACTCTCTGCGACGTGACGTCATCGATGCTCGAGGTGAAGACAACTCGACTACCGAGCAACGAGAGGCAGACAACTCACCAGTCGAGCAATCGCTCTGCGATATCGATGATGCGCGTTGTCAGGTCACGGTTCATAAGGGTGATAGGGTACCATACCGGTAAAAGTTACATATTTATCTCTGGTATCTCTGGACACCGTAGGTACCGGTAACGACAGAACGAGATGAGGTACGGTACCGTACTTGGTCTTTTGGCATTTTTTTGTTAGACTTTTTTAGGTTGCCATCTCTCATTTACCAGTATTCGTTATCGAGTACCGGTACCTATGATATATACCGGTAAAAGTTACATATTTATCCCTGGACACCGTAGGTACCGGTAACGACAGAACGAGATGAGGTACCGTACCGTACGTTACCGTACTTGGTCTTTTGGCATTTTTTTGTTAAACTTTCTGAGGTTGCCATCTCTTATTTACCAGTATTCGTTATCGCGTACCGATACCGGTATTGGTCCTTCATCCCTGGATATGATTTTTTATATTTACTTTATTTGTCTAAGTGCAAACATTTCTGCAGCCCAAATCCAACCCGTTGAACGACTTAATCCAGTAATCTGAATAGTTGTACATTTGTGAACCTTCTGTCTGATGAATTTCAAAAAATCTAAATACAGATATCAATTGGCTGAAATCTAAAATATGTTTTAACAATTGCCACAATCAAACTGAAACTAAAATTTGATGTTTTTGGGTAAAAAATAGCTCAAGGATTATTGTTTTCCCTTTTTGTTTTTGTAACACTTTATAAATAAAATTTTGTTTCTAAAGTATAACTTTTTACGCCACACATGCGAGATGCGACATGGCCCGCCAGTCTAGGTGCGCAAAATTTTTGCACGTGGTCCGAGAACTTTGCTCAACGCTGCTCTAGTTCATATTTTAAGCTTTGTTGAGGAATAAATTACTGATTTTTGAATAATATCTATTTTGTTTTAAAATTCAATAGAATTATATTGGGTAATCATATATATTAATATGATTTATTTTCAGTATGTATACTATGTAAGCTTACCCAACCAACCTTAATTAAGGGTTATTATATTTTAAAGTGAATTAGAAGGTAGACCGCTAGCAAAAAAGATTCGGGCGATTGGGGGGAAGCCCATCTCTGTACAATGACTGCCAAATGTGCATGCAACTGTGCAATGCCCAGCGACTCTAAAAGCATGAAGTATTGTACGACACATTCTTTACAAATATTTGGACATATTTTGTGTATTATCCATTTTTTTCCGGTTTTAAATAATTATTACCGATTAGATATTCTGTCAAGTGTCAATATTACCATTGTAATTTTAATGTTATATACCATTTTTATAATAGGCCCTATGACAATGGACTGGAAAATTCACCTGCTTCAATTCCCTCTTTCACGCAATCATACACTGTGTCATTTCAAGCATCTCAATGTTTCAATGCGGACATTGCCCAAAACAGGTGTTTTTGTTTTATAGTTTGATAGTAGCTCCTTGCATATCTGTGCCCTGAAATATTGCACAATAGCTAGATATATCGGTTGAATAATTACCTAGTACAACATCATGTGGTTAATACCGTATTTTCCGGCGAATAAGTCGCTTTTCTAGACCCAAATTTTGAGCCTGATTTTTTTTTGGGGGGGGGGGGGGGGGGTCGTCTTATTAGGCGAGTATGATCATTTTCATTTTTTTGTTGCCCTATTATTGAATCCGGACAATAAAATACCTTCGGCGATAGCATCCCCCACGTCCTCATCAGGTTAGTTTAATTAAATCGACATTCTCGTGCTGTGAATCTGAAATTTCAATGCTGTGATTATCATATTTGCATTATCATATATGGACTGAATATTACGCTACAAAAAAAAGTCATAGGCTATTTTAACCAATGCGCAAACGCGGCAACCGCTCGAAAGGCATTGCATGGTAATTTGAGATTCCCGACGTTGATGCGATTTTACTACCCCGACTTACTGGCCGGTTATATGCAAAAACCCATTTTTTCAGGCTTAAAAACAGGCCTCGTCTTATTCGCCGGGTAGACTTATTCGTCGGAAAGTACGGCAATTAATATTAATGAAAAATTTATAGGACAGGCGGTAGAAACTCTTATGCTACAAGCTACGGCATCTGCAACTTTCCACTGATTATAGTGTGGACTCGGACATACAGGAATTGATGAAATTCATTATCAATTCATTGTCTGATTACATTTTGATCCAGAAAAACATTCAAGGATGAAAAAATGGCTCGTAAATTGAATACTTTTAGAGGCTGATTACATACACTTTACGGCGGTGGTTCCCAAACTTTTTTTTCCGCCACCCCAATTTTTGTAAAATCACAGACCACAGATACTTGCGACACCACAACGAGAAAACATTAAAAATCAATTTATTCTATTCAATCATTCTGATGAAAATCGACTGTAAGTTTGCGGGGCATTAGTGTAACGTGGTTGTACTTGTACTTAACTGTTTAGTTCAGTGGTTCCCAACCTTTTTACCCCAGCGGGCAAGCAAAATTTATTTAAGAGTTCGCTGACCGGTAACACATGCCATCGTATGAAGACCACGATGTAAAAATCTCTGAGATTCAGAATATTTGTTTAGTTTTAGTACAATGTTAAAATATTGCAGATTACTCCGTAATTATTTGGAAAGCTAAACAGAACATGAAAGTAAAATAGGTGACCCTTTGCTGGGTCTCATCTTATTGAGTGCGTTTTATTTTTTGTCGTTTTGTTTTTGACTGCATGAAGCGCTTCGAATTTATGTATGAAATACAATATGCCCCATATTTTCGCTTCGTGTTCAAGGAAGATTATTTAAATGTCTAAATACGACCTGATTGCAATATTAAAATTGTTCACTTTTATACGAATGGGATGTGGACAAAACACATATGTGTATGTTTTAGAGTAGATACTCGCGATAATTTAACTTAGAGCTTTTGCAACGGATGGAAACCTTTTCATTAGATGTATTCTTATAATTGTGCTTATTTACTCATTCCAGATAAGATATTTGCGAAGTCTTGGAGATTGCTCCAAGAAAGACTGGATTGGAGAATCATGAGCTCAGTTATAACAAATTTACTCGCCCGCTCTTCCAACTGTGCAGGACGCGGTGGATAAGAAGGAGTGAGTGGGACGCCCTTAGTTTTTTGCTATTAAAGGTACCGGTATGTAATATGTTTATCATATTGTACCACCATCTTTCTCTGCTCTACCCTCTTCTATTTTATAAGTATAAGATTATTTTGACTCCAAATCAGCTTAAGATAATTCATAAGGGAAATGAACAAAAATTGATTAAATAGAATCTGACAATCTGGAGTGAAAACAAAACCTTAATTAAGATTGAAGCGTAAAGAATATAAGGTTTTGCCAAAAAGATGCCTATCGTGTTCATGAATTAAATTAAGTTACACACACACAACAACAACAGAGATATAATAAAATAAAAACAGGCGAGAAAATTTAGATAAGTTTGATAGTAAACAAAATGTACTTGCCAGTTGCCACACCATTCATTTTTATCATTATGATTGTCAAATTGAATAATGATTTTGTAAACAACTGTGAACAGTAAAGAAATTGAATGTAGATTTTGTATACAAAAGTGAACAGTATAGAAAAATATTTATTAAGGAGATATCGCCAAGCTGATTATGGTTAGAGTCAAGTGCCAAATTGCTAATCCAATGTTGCCAGAGTTTGGTGCATAATGGCGAACAGTGGTTTTCGAACTTATTTGTATCATCGCTCCCTTCAGTACTTTTTACATTATCACCCCCCCCCCCTAGCACAACAGCAAATGATGAAGTTACAAATAAATTTATTGTAAGTCAATTAAACAAATAGACTAATCATGGTGCATGATGTTTCTAATAAGATAGATGAATTTCAACAAGGAATATTTGAAGAAATTTTAGTCAGATAAAATCTCAAATCATCATTATTCCCTGCAACAAATATTCCCCTCAAAACATTGTCTACGCCCCCCTTGCGGAATCAAGAATTTCTGTATTTCTCAATTATTATTGTCTTGTCAATGTAAGCTTCACTCACACATTTGCGACTGCAGAAACTTGGCTTAAGATTCCTACTCTGAAAATTTGTTGGTATGCAGTCATTCAGACTAGGCTTTGAACTCTGGTGCTTTAATTTGCTAATACTGCAATTTAACACAGAATTTTTATATTTTTCAGCTCTGGATGATCTGGCAACGAACTCCGATTAATTTTATTACATGTATACATATTTGTAAAATAAAGACATTTTGTTATCTTTTGTTTTTTATTATATACATAATGTTAGATTAGTGGGAAATTTCTATGTAGTATAGATCCATACCCTGTCTGTACAACACATCGTCTAACTTGGCCCGACCATGTGCCACGATTGTATTACAACGTGTCACCTACGTAGGCCCGGCCATATGTCACGATTGTGTTACAACGTATCGCCCACGTTGGACCGGCCATATTTCACGATTGTGTTACAACGTATCGCCTACGTTGGCCCGACCGTTTGCCACGGTTGCATACAGCAAAAGGACCGACGTTGGCCCAGCGGCCAAATCTTCGCTGGAACATGGTTGTTCGCCATTATTGGGCCGGTGGTTCGAACAACGTTCGGCCATGGTTGTTCCAACGTAGTTGTGCTATCTGGGAAATGTTTTAATGGGCACCTTTAAAAATATTAAAACCTTTATACTTCACAGTAACACTTAAATATTTATGAAGGTGAGCTCAGTAGTCTATGGTTGCAGTAGACTAAACTCGCCTACGGCAGTCGCCCGACAGGCCGTCAACTCACCAGTCGAGCAAACTCTCTGCGACGTGACGTCATCGATGCTCGAGGTGAAGACAAATCGACTACCGAGCAACGAGAGGCAGACAACTCACCAGTCGAGCAATCGCTCTGCGATATCGATGCTCGAGGAGTAGACATTGCTTTGCAAAACGCAGAATCAAGAGTTGCATAGCATTTACTTAGTGTCACCACGGCAAGGTTTCAGACATAGAGTTGGAATTTATTTTTGCAGAAGAAAACCAGGAACAGATACAAAGTGTATATAAGCCTATGAAAAAATATACTTTGACAACCAGCGGTGTTCATACACAGCTTGGTCCAACAACCTGTCTACAACTACAATAAAGATATACAAACACTTTCTTGAGCAGTTGTATAACATCTTTATACCTAAAACCTCTCTGGCTTATGGCGTCCTCGATGGTGAAAGACGCTTCTTCGATTCTTTGGCTCAACAATTCTCTCGGATTGGTTGCCTCGATAGATTCATTAACCACGGACGGAATATCTGGGAATGCGTCCTGTGTAATATATTAAAAATGTTAGTTTATTATAGTCTAGATAGGTTAACAAATAATCCATAAAAAATAGTCAACTCACTCTAGGTATTGGGCTGATTTCCGAGCATTCGGAATCAGAGTAGTCTACCAGCCGACGGCTAGGTTCCATCTGCTGGGATACAACAATCGGGTTGGACTCATGGGCCTGGTAGCAGTCCAGGCACTTCCACTCAAACCTTACGTCCTGTTTTTTTTTAATAGCCTGTACTGTTCCCTTGTCATTGCCACATCTGAATTATTAAAAATTTGCGATGAAACCAATTTCGACACAGATGAGTCCCTCGACACACGTCACAGATGAGTCCCTCCTGCTTCATGGAAACATTGTCGTCACATCCATATTTACGGTCACATCTCTTGCACATATTTGGAGTAGTAATTTTGCGTAGTTTTTGTGGAGTTAATATACCGTTAGTCGTCCTGAGTATTTACGTTTGTAAGGTGTCAGGCCGGCGATAATGAGGCTTTAAACGCGGCGATAACCGAGCAGTAATCTCGGCGCGCGGCTTCATTATCACCGATCTGGCACTGATATCCATGCACGGAGATTAGAACAGTTTAAGGAAGGAGAGTTATCTGTGGACTGACTCTCTTCTTATTGCAAAGAGTAAGTATAAAACGCAGCAAATTTCCCATAACGTTTAGTATTCAAATAAAGTTCATTATTCGTAACGAAAAAGAAAACAAAACCTTCCACCCATTATATTTCCCCATAACGTTTAGTATTCAAATATTATATTAAATTCATTAATCGTAACAAAAAGTAAACATCTTTTATCCATTCTTCGGTCCAGATTCTTTGCCAGGCGCTTCTTTTGGTTTTCTTCTGCAAAAAGAAATTCCAACTGACTTGACTGAAACCTTGCCGTGGTGAGTTGGCTTACAACTAATATCAGTCGGCACTAAGTAAATGCTATGCAACTCTTGAGTCTGCGTTTTGCAAAGCAATGTCTTCTCGAGCATCGATATCGCAGAGCGATTGCTCGACTGGTGAGTTGTCTGCCTCTCGTTGCTCGGTAGTCGAGTTGTCTTCACCTCGAGCATCGATGACGTCACGTCGCAGAGCGTTTGCTCGACCAATGACATTAAACAACATGATGCGCAACTCCGCCATTTTTGGCCGAAGATCGTATCCGATAGCACGCTCCAATGCACATACTTGACGAGACGAAAACGAGCGGATGTGTGCTGCTTTCAAGGAATAGCACGAATGGTGTTCGTGCCTGCTTTGACAGTTGTTGTCGATTTTAATGATATTTTGTAAAGTTGAGGTAGAAAGAAATTGGAAAAAGGTAAGGTAAATACTATTGTTGTATATCACACCCGGGCATCGCACTGTTTAGTACATGTGTGGGAAAGCCAGCTTTTGTCAAATACTACGAAGTTATTAATTCAGTACGGTACGTAGTTGTCCATTTGCCGAAATTGCATATTTACTTACCCCTTATGGTTTCAAATAGTTCATGCACTTCCAGTTAGATTTTTTAATCAGTGAGGATATATACTCATTGCTGTAACATACTATTGCTCAATAACTTTTATTTGCGTATTGAATCAAAGGGTTAACAAGTTCACCTAACATTTTACTCACACCGGTCTATATTGTATAGTCTGATCTCTCAAGTATAAGAATGCTTGTAATTTTCTGACTAAACCCTTTTATTAGTTGGTTTATATACCAAATTCAGTAAAACATATTCTACATAGACATGGGATATTGGATTTATTAGCTTTTCCATTCTAAATCATATAGACTGCTTTATTTATTCTTAACGAAAATTAATAAATCTCCTCTCTTTCTTCAGATGTGAATGTTGTGGAAAAACCTGTCTAAGCATTGTGAGACTCCTGCAGCACAAGCGGCAATAGCAAAATAACATAACGACATAAAGTAAAACTTTCAACTATTCGTCTAATCTCAATTTCCTATTATTTATTCACAGGACAACTGTAGCAGAAGGGGAGATATCAGAAGTCTGGCGACATATCAGTGACAGTGGGATTCCAAGAAATATAATTAGAATACTCCATAAATGTTTGCAATAGAAGAACAACCTATGGAGGCATGCAAATGCATTTGACCCTCCGGTAGAGTTGTGTATGGCCCCTACATCCTGCAAGGCTTGAGGAAAATAACTAAAAATTCCAATGCGTAAGATTGCATAAGCGGTCTTATTTGTGAAAAAGCACAAAACATGCCAGGCATACTTAAAACAGCTTTGAAAAATGAGGATTCAGGTCACTCACTACACCTGTGTTATATTTGGTCCATCAACTTTTGGTAGTACTGTAGAAGAAATTCAGGAAAGGGTATAATCATGATTCATGATAAAATACTGATATATATTTTGGACAACTTCAATCTAGACCAAACTCGCGGCCCCAGAGAACTTCCAGTGCGGCCTCGATCGCTTAATAATAATTGTAAAAGTATTTTGGAAGTTTTTTTTTATCTAAATGTAACAGATTTTTCAAACTTTTTAAAGTGAAATTGAATATTCACACAGAAAACAATTTACTGAAAGTAGTTTTAAAAAATTAATTTTTTTTGTTCACATTTTAACCCATTCAAGAATACACATCAAGCTAGCAAAAGAATACTTGAATAAAACACTTGAGTGATTAAATTAAACGCAAAGTACATGAAGAAGGTGGCATTTTCGAAGAAAATGGGAGTTGCAATATTTCTGCATTTCACAAAATTCTCTGAAGCACATTGTTTAATTTGTCATATTTCCATCAGTACAATGAAAAAACACAATAAGCTTAGCAGTCAATATGACAAATTCGAAGACCAACTTCGAACAGAAAATTTCCATATGTTTGTATATTAATATAATTATACAACTTTTTTGTTCAATATCATATAATTATTCAAGCAATCCTATGCCATGCAATGTGGCGCGAAATGTCTTGTCGAAAAAATCTGTCATTTGTTTTCTTACTGATCTATACATGAAATGATAAAAGTAACTTTTTTGCATTACTGGAATAATTTAAACATTCGCGAAGATCCAGATTAACCCATGATCATGTGACCTCGTTAGTTAGAGTTGGTACTATAAAATTATTTCATCCTGGCCTTAGTATGCTGGTGACACAAAAAAGATGCCAAACGTCAGGACAAATGTAAATAAAAAACATTGAGTTTATATTGTAGTATTTTTGTTAATTTTAGGTTCATATATTTAGATTAAGTCATTTTTTTAGTGTATGTATTATTCTTTCCTTATCCAAAGCTTGTTCAAAAATGATTTTGATGATTGTACATAGAATTTTATGATTTTTTGTAATAAATACAGTAACTTGCAATAATAGTGGAATGCAAATATTAACATGAAATTGCATTTAAAATTAAAGAAAATAATAAAACTTAATCCAACTGTTTAGTTGCATCCTAATATATGTCACAAACTAAAACTATCTTGAAAATATCTTTCAAGTATACATTATCAAAAACTGTTTGCGGCCCTTTTTACAATTTCCAACATGCAATGCGGCTCTCGAAAACCCATGAGTTTGACACCACTGATCTATTCTAGACAATTCAAGCATTGCTTGGGAAATAATATCACTTCAATTAAATTGAAAAAAATCTTGCCGTATTAAATACAAAATCGTTGCTATCATAAAGGTAAACCAATTCAGCCACTGGAATATATTGGCCTTCACAAAGCAATGGAGGCAAAATTGAGAGTTCATGAGCTATGAACTTTTGTTCTTTTCTTTGTCTTGAACTTTTCATACTCCACAGCCCCTATTAATTTTATTTTTAATTACCATGTGATGGTCATACATATCTTTAACTTGTATTTTCTGTAATGATGTATTATCTCAATGTGTCAAACTTTTAATTAGTGTGCATATTTTGCTTCCAGATGACATAAATGTATTGTCTTGTTTATTACCTCAGCTTGGAGTATTGACAAGAAAAAGGTGCCAGTAAATTCTTTGTTATAATCAGAATTCACGATTAATAGGAA